CCCCCCCCCCCCCCCCCCCCCCCCCCCCCCCCCCCCCCCCCCCCCCCCCCCCCCCCCCCGGACTTCCCAGAACCCGTACACGGTATTGATTTTTAACAAACACAGTCTAAAATCTATTGAGAAAAAAAAATAAAGAAATTAATGACATTCTACATTGACCTTAGCTGCTTCTTGCTGAGCTAACTTTAAACTAAATCAGGGTGTCATTCTTAAGGCCTGCAGGCCAGATCCAGCCACACGGTGCTTAGATCTGGCCCGCGGGACCATCCTGGAAAATGAAGGACTGGCCCGTGGTGCCTCTGTCAGTGGAAACAGGCTCCCAATCTCCGTTTTTGGTTGGGACGTCCTCCTGCAAACCTCTGCCAGTGAAAACGGAGCTCGGGAGGGAGGTTGGGAGCCCATGTTCACTGTAGAGCACTCGGGCCACCACAAGGACCCCTGACAGTAGTGATGTCAAGCTGGCCATGCCCACCCTGGCCACGCCTACCCCAGCCCCTGAAGTCAAACACAAGCCTGATGCTTCCCTCAATGAAATCGAATTTGACACCCCTGTTCTAAACACTCATAGCGGCTTTAAGTCATACCACTGCTTAGTGGGAGATTTCTATCTGCTGGACATCAGTGATCAATATAGAGAACTTGTCTGTGCCAGCAAACTCCATCTGAAGTGTATGTTACATCCCTCTGGTCTTGTTGTGTTGTTGAGCCAATCACATGTATATCAAATCACACCTAAAGCTGTTTGGATTTCTTTGGGTCGGTCACTCGAATGACCAGACATATCCCAAGCCCTCTCTCCCCCATGTGTTTTCAGGAACTCCCTTGGAACTGAATGGGAAGTGTTTTTCTGTTTCTTTCTTCATTCATTTGAGTGAGGGTTCTGGAGGGCTCCCAATTAAGCTTCACAACAAATTAATTCTGGGAAGAGTTTGAGATACAGAACTTGATCTCAGTGGGGCATGATGTAATTCAGAGGTCAACTGACCTCTGATCCTTTGGGTCAAGAAGTTGGATGCTTCTGTTTTTATAGTTGGATTGGACTACAAAATAGGGAAGGGATGCCACAGGGAGCCTGTTTTGAATTGTATTCAGGATCCTGAGTGCCTTGTGGGGCACAGGTTGGGTTTTAATAATGAGACCCATGAATATTTAACTCTTTGGGGATAGGATAGGCCAGGAATAGAGATAGGGATAGGATAGGATAGGATAGGAATGGAACAGGAACAGGAACAGGAACAGGAACAGGAACAGGAACAGGAACAGGAACAGGAACAGGAACAGGAACAGGAACAGGAAAGAATAGAATAGAATAGAATAGAATAGAATAACAGACTCAGAAGGGACCTTGGAAGTCTTCTAGTCCGACCCTCTGCCCAGGCAGAAAACCCTACACCACTTCAGACAAATGGTTATCCAATCTCTTCTTAAAAACTTAAGAGTGTTGGAGCATCCACAACTTCTGGAGGCAAGTTGTTCCACTGATTAATTGTTCTCACTGTCATGAAATTTCTCCTCAGTTCTAAATTGCCTCTCTCTCTGATTAGTGGAAGAAACATGGTAAAACTTTTTATAGCTGGTTGATTGATTAACATCAGATTTCACCTACCGTCACCACCCCAATCTTGCTCCCATTCTCCCCATCTTTTAATTGGGTTGCTGTATTTCGCTGTGTGGGTAGTATTTTATCTACGCTTTTATCCTTGCACAGTTTTTATTTATGATTGTGAGCGGCTGGCTATAAATTTTATAAATAAATATTGGAATAGTTATTGGTGGAAGCCAGGATGGTGGCTTTAAATTAATGAAAGTGATGATTGTTTTAAGAACTTTGCAACTTCTAACAATTTGGTTTTCCAAGTTCACAACAGTAGTAATATTTTGAACCTAAGCATGTTTTACAGCTCAATATGCAATTACAAAAAAATTGCAATAGCAGGTTGTAATGTCTTTTGGAGATAAGAAGAGACACTCCTAGGGAATGATCAGATAAGAGACAGCATAGCCTGCAGCTGCTTAATGGACAGAGAAAGGAAGCTCCCTACTATTGTTACCTTCCCACCAAAGGTGGTCCCTATTTTTCTACTTGTATTTTTACATGCTTTCGAACTGCTACGTTGGCAGAAGCTGGGACAAGTAACAGGAGCTCACTCCACTACGCTAGGGATTCAAACCGCCGAACTGCCAACCTTTCTGATCGACAAGCTCAGTGTCAGCCACTGAGCCACCACGTCCCTATGCCTGTATATAGGCTTGCAAAATTCTGTTAGTGTAGCATAGCCTTACAATAAAATAAATACAATAGAATTAGCTGTGTCTGGTCATTTTCCCTGTCTATTCTACCTTGCAAAAAAGAGAATTAGTTGAGTGCAACTGGAGATGTTGAGCAACATGGCTAGGTAAAGTCATTCCTTGGAACTAGGCCTGGCAATAGGCAATAAAAATTGTTGAATGGTTTGAGTTTAACCCTCTAGTTTAAAGAGTGGTCAGGCTCGTGTTGTTTGTTTAGTTCCCTGAAAAGGGTGACCAGTTTACACAAACACAGCTCTAATTTCTTTGTGGGAAAACACACAGGGGAGGCAAAAGAGATAAATAATACAACATCCCTGGAAATCTGCTTCCCTGCTTCCGAACATATCGTCCCTCAGCCTTGTTTACAGGAGTCCAACCAGAGGGACAACTGCACATCCCCCCCTTCCATGTGACACTGTGTCAGTCTTTTGGAAACAAGACCCTCCTCTCAAATTACCCTGCCGGCTAAACACATGTGACTGTCAGATAAATTATAAATAGAAAAGAGGCAGACAAACGGCAGAAAAACCCAGTGACTTAGTTTGAAAGTCAACCCAGCAAGGCTCAGTTCTAAAACTTTGAGCTTGTCTCTCCAAAGAGAACCTTAACTTGAGCGATTCCAGAATCGAAGGATATTAAAGTGCTGAACTGAACAATGGATTATCAATCGAGCATCTTCCAGGACAATAACCCCATGGAGAATCTGGAAAAACAGCTGATCTGCCCTATTTGCCTAGAGATGTTCTCCAAGCCTGTGGTCATCCTACCTTGCCAGCATAACCTCTGCAGGAAATGTGCTAATGACATTTTTCAGGTCAGTATGCATCCACATTCAGCCAATTTTGTATGTGTTTACTCAGTAGCTACATAGGAAGACTTTGAGATTCAGTTGATTTCTGTGGATGGAATGGAATAGAATAGAATAGAATAGAAACAGAAACAGAAACAGAAACAGAAATGGAACAGAACAGAATAGAATAGAATCCACATGAGTCTTGCGATTGAAATACAAATATAAGAAGTAGTAGAATATGTGCTTGCTTAGTTCAGTCATCCAGGGTAGCTTCCAAGTTAGACAAACCCTCCTTACTTAGGAATCATTTGTTTTAAATTGGACATGGATTAAGTTTTAAAATAGAGAATCTAGGGAAATGCATTTCCGTCATCCGGAAAAAAGTTAAAATGGCAGACAGTGAATGTGTAACAATCTCCGCTACATTTGAAAGATTCATTATCCATCGCTGGGCAACGTTTAATAAGAAAATAGCAAGGATATAAATATAACGAGGTTAAATGTAATGAACTTGTTCTAGCTGTGAAATGTTTTCTCACTGGTGCTTTTTAAAGGCTCTCTGGTGCCTTAGAGGCTGCATGCATTATCCACTAAAATCCATTTCTATCTCCACTTTCAAGTCTTGGAGGCCATCTTGGAATCATTCCTCAGATAATGTTCACATCTTCAAAAGGCTTTGGCTAAGTAGTAGCTGATAAGAGCTCAGCTCTGGTCCTCTGGGGGCCTGTTCTACTTCTGACATTGCCTTCCTGACTTGTTGATTGTTGTTGTCAAAGCTCCAAGGCAACACAAAATGGAAGGGCAAGAGACAAAGCCAAGAAGCTGAGGAGAATCTGAATATAGTTTCCCAAATATCTCATTGGCTTGCAGGCAAAGAGGGAGAGGAGAGAGATACCTGCCTGGTGAAACAATGGGTTGTTTTTAAGTGTACTCTCATCCTGGAGATCCTCAGATGTGTCGGTATGGTCAACAGGAGCTGTAGTCACAACACATCTCTAGGGCACTTGGCTGGAGAAAGTAGCTTTATTTCCTTCTCACTCAATGGCTTCTTACATATGTATCATTTCCATTTTGTAAAAAAATGGGTGTATCAAGGATAAATGCATGTGTGGCTTTGTTTTATTTATTTATTTTTATTGTGGAATTAATATCCTTAAGGGGATGAAGAATTATTTTTTAATTTAATGATTCTTCTTCTTCTTCTTGCACCATATCCATCATTGGACATTGGCGATCATGTTGGCGATCCTAATGATGGTTTACTGAATGCCTTTTTGCCAGTATTTACAAGTTAAAGCTCTCTAGATGTGTTGGGATTTCAATCCTAGAATCTTAAATCATCATGTGGCATGCCGATTGGAAATTCTTGGAAACTATATATCCCATTATTTTTAAGGAGGGCTATGTTAGTGCCAATGAGGTTGATTCATAGCCTGGGTTCAAAGGATTCTGATAACTGCCAATCCCAACATAAAAATGGACCCGATCATATAGTTCCCTCTTTGAGAGTCAAGTTTGGTCTAGCGCAGGGGTCGTCAACCTTAAACACTCAAAGAGCCATTTGGACCCGTTTCCCACAGAAAATAAAACACTGGGAGCCACAAAACCCTTTCCAAGCCTGACTATTTCCTGAGCGGCCACAAGACTAGTATATGTAGTTGAATTAAACATTTTGTTTTCTTCTAAAACTTTTCTTTTCTTGGATTTAACCATGGTTGGCCTACCAGCGGTTGAAAAGCTCAATAAATCATGTGCCAGCAGGTGTCGCACATTGGCGGGTCGTGACGCATATTTTGAGCAACAGGGAGCCTCAGCAGAAGGATGAAAGAGCCACATGCTGCTCCAGAGCCACGGGTTGCTCACCCCTGGTCTAGTGGTTAAAGTACCAGATTAGAAACTAGGTGTCAATGAGTTCTAGTTCCTCCTTAGGCATGAAAGCCAGCTGGGTCACCTTGGGCCAATCACTCTCTCTCAATCTATGTTGTAAGGCTCAGATGACAAGTGGATTGGTCAATTCCTGTCACAACCAATGGATCAAGCCTTGGTTAATCTGAAAAAATTCTTACTGATATAAAAGTTTTAGAAACCGATGCAATATTTCTCTGTATTATAATTACATTCCCCTCAAAACCATGACCAAATCCTTGACAATATCAACATTAGCAACATGGAAACTGAAAGTTACTATCATTCAAATATGAATTCTGTGTTCAATTGCAAACAACAAGCAACCCATTGTTACCAAAGATTGCCTAACTGAATCACTAAAGCTGCATAAGATTAGGTGGACAATGGACCAGGTGAAACATCTTCTTTCCGCCAGTTGGTTTCCGCTGGTGCCAATGTCCCTCCAATTATTTCTTCATGTAGCATAAGAAACCATTGCCATAGAACATTGTGAAAGCATCTAGGACTACACAAATAAAGGCGGGAATGGATTGATCCTATAATTAGTATAACCAGGACTAATGGATCCTGCAACGAGAAAGGATATATTCTAGAGCCTAGACAATCTTACATCCCTTCATCTATTCCAGTTCCCATTTTTCTGGGTTTATATCCTGTTTTCCAATAAACGAGTCAATATCCCATGCTCACCAAGCATACCTACTAAGCATTGTTTTGGGATAGATCCTCTTCAAAATATAGTGGGTTTTTTCATATTTGCTTCTATAAGAATATATTAGTACATGAATTTTGGCTGGCTTCAAAAAAGGGTTGGACAAGTTGATGAAAATCGCGAGGCTCAGTTATTAGTCTTGGTATGGTAGAAGTGTGATTGCTTCTAAGGGCCAACAACTGGGAGACTTCCTTGTGTAGTTGGTTGTCGTTGCAGAAGAGACCGCTGGACTAGATGAGCCATTGCTTATCTTCTTATGAACTATTTGCCTTATTTTTACAATTCATATTATTGTTCATGTAATCCATAAAGACAATGGTGTGATTCTTCCAAGTCTAACATCTAATTAAAGTTCTAGGAAAGATGTGCAAGGAAATCAATAATTCAGGATAACCACATTTTCTTGGGTGACTTCATGAGCATTCATTCAAGCGTTGATGAACTTGAGTCCTTCAAAAACTGAGATGAGCCAGCAAACCTTATTCTTATGTTTTAGTTATAAGAAACAAAGTCTATATATCTAGCTATAAATGCTAATAGTTTTCTAGGAGTCAGGTGCCTAATGTTTTACATAAAAATTGGCGCATAAAGTAATGAAACCAGATTAGATTAAACGATTTGGCAAATTGAAATTGAGTTCTCCCGGCCAATGTCCAGCTCTGAGAAATAGTATCACTGCAATTTGTGCCCAAAATAGATTCCAGTTGAAGCAGTGATCTCATTTATTGGCGGTGGCTAGTGACACTGTCTATTTTTTGAGCAAAGCATGAACGGAGATGTTCCATTTTATCAAAAGGAATATTTTTAAAGGTGGGGAGGAGGAAGGGAAGAAATCAGATTATTTTGAATTTTTTAGGCTTTCCCCATCTGGGTCCTTCCTGGTGTGCTGAGTTTGAAATGAATAGGATTGAAACTATTTCTGGAGGGTGCAAGATTTGGAAAATGAATGTGTAGTTTGTTTAATTTTGGGGGGAAATCCCTAACATTTGGATTAACATGGTTGATGACATTTCTAGGCTTCAAATCCATACTGGCAAACAAGCCGAGGAACCACCATATCTGGAGGGCGGTTTAAGTGTCCCTCTTGCCGACACGAAGTCATCTTGGACCGCCATGGAGTCTACGGCCTCCAGAGGAATCTGCTGGTAGAGAATATCATCGATATCTATAAACAAGAATATTCAAGGTTGGTATGAATTCCGCTTTATTACAGCTTGGAAAAGGAATTCTCCCTTGAAAGCAATCAGGTCTTAGTATCTTCCAGTAATTTGTTAACAACAATTTCCAGACAAAACATCAGCTAGAGTAGAGCAGAGATGACTAATTTTTTTCTCCTTGCAATGCAATGCAACTGCAACAACCCCCATGTATCCCGTCCCCTGTGCATGCAACACCATCCCACGCTTCCCCCAGGCATCCACGTGTGACAACTCCCCGCCCTGTTTTGGGCCTAGTCGGCCTCCCTGAAGCCTCCTGGGACAAAAAATGGAGTGCAGAGGGGGGGCGCACCACCACCCTGGGGGCCTATTTTGGGCATCGCAGTTGGGGCATGGGGGGGATGCCACACCCCCAGAGCTCTCCCCGCATATACAAGCATGACCCCCCACCCCCTCATGCATGCATGTGCATCTCCCAGATGTGCGGCACCCAAAAATCAGCTGGCCAGCAGGAGGTGCATGCGCATGCATGGTGGAGTTGAGCTGGGGCTATGGCTTGCATGCCCACAGAGAGGGCTCTCATGGGCATGCGTGCCATAGGTTTCCCATCACAGAGCTAGAGAAAGGTGGATGAATCAAGTTAGTGTCACTTTTACCAACCACATACATTTTCTTCAGCTCTATATAGTGGTCCTTGACTTACAATCATTCAACAAAACTGGGGAAAAAATGACTTACACGCTAAAGACCATCACCCATCCCCACAGTCATGTGATCAAAATGCAGGCGTTTTCTAACTGGCATATATTTAGGATAGTTGCAGCATCCTTAGGTCAGGTGATCACCATTTGCAATCTTCCCAACTGGCTTCTGACAAGCAAAATCAAAGCAGGGGGAGGGGGGAGAAGCTGGATTCTCTTAATTGCCATGTGATTCACTTAACAATTGCAGTGATTTGCTTAACAACCATGGCAAAACAAAGTTATAAAATTGGCTTTGACTCTCTTAACAATAGCAATTTTGGTCCCAGTTGTGATCCTAAGTCAAGAACTACCTGTAATTGAGTCCATCCACCTTGAATGGGAGGAGGAGTGGCAGAACCTTGGGGCAGGATGAAAAGAGGGATCAGCCTAGAATCCTTATGTAGTCACAAGCGAACTAAGTCCAATCCTCCTTGAGTTCCAGTGACCCTTATCTAATGCTAAGCGGATGCTGTTGAGAAGATTCTTGTGCACAGAATATAGGAACCTATTAGCATAACTGAACCTTCACTTGTGGACTTTCTCAACTGACATCTTGCTGCTGGTGGCCCTCTTTCTTCCTTCCTTTGTTCCTTTGTTCCTTCGTTCCTTCCTTCCCTCCTTTCTTTCTTTTTTCTTTCTTTCTTTCTTTCCATCCTTCCCTGCATTAAAGGAAGGTATGA